GATGCTTGGGATGCCTGCGATGCTTGGGATGCCTGCGATGCAGCAGCCGCGGCCGAGCACCGATCCTCCGAGAGGTCCGAGTTGCATGGGCTTTCGCGCAGAGGCGACGTGGATGCCGGCTGGCCTGCAGACGACCTGCGGCCGACAGAGTCGTGGCAGCGGAGAGGAGCCCAGCAACGAGACAACTGGACCTCGAGGCGGATGGTGGCGGACTCGGAAAGCAGAACGGCGCAGCGCGAAAAGAGGTCGAGTAGACGGCCGAGATGGACAAAGTGCGAGCGCAGGAACTGGATGTCTCGCTCGGCTCCAGCGCAGAGCGAGAGGGTATTGTCCGAGTCGACGGCGTGCGATCGGATATGCTCCAGAGGAGACGACGCTGCTGGGGTCGAGGGTTCTGGGTCATGGGCAGGATGCGAGCCGGCGGCGGTGGGACTATTCCAGCGCGAAGAAAGAATGGCAAGCCGCTGGTCAATCTGGCGCAGATAGCGATGGTTGAGGCAGGTCTGGGTGTGGCAACGCTGGAGCATCCATAGCACGACCAACAGGAGCAGGACGAGGAGATAATCCATGGTCGAGGCCAGCGGGAATGTAGATGCGAGGTGTGGGAGCGGAATCGATGTGGTGGGAGAATCAATGCGGGTGTGGGATCGGATTTGGGATCGGGAATATTCATCGCAGGGCAATGCGTCGAGACGGATGCATGATTCGGCCGGCACTGCATCGGTGACACATCCCCTTCCTCCAGACGACCGGGGCTCTCGGAGGGGCATCTCCTGCGAGGAATCGGTTATCGAGGACGGAGGACGAGCAGCATGGCTCGTCAACATGGTTCATCAACATGGTTCATCAACATGGTTCGTCAACATGGCTCGTCAACATGGTTCGTCAACATGCGCCTTGCCACGAAAGCGGCCAGCATGACCGCCTGGTGAGGCAGAGACAAGCGACAGGGCACCGACCGGCCGTCAAGAACAAGAGTGGCATTCCTGGGAGAGGCAAGGACAGACAGCGGCAGCGGCGAGAGCACCGACAAACAAATCGAAGGGCGGCGAGTGGTGCTGGATGGTGTTGGATGGTGTTGGATGGATGGTGTTGGATGGATGGTGTTGGATGGTGTTGGCTTGGGCTGGGCAAGCGGACCCCACGCCGCCGAGATGGCGAGCGATGCAGACGACGGGATTCAACGGGGTCTGATGCATCTGGGGACGTGAAGAGGCTGAGGCGCTTCATTGCTGTGAAAGGATCAGAACCATGCATGTGCTGACCGAGCAGCAACATCGGGCAAGACATTCAACCGCATCGCTTGCGTTGGACCACACCGAATCACACCGAATCGCATCGGAGCACATCCGAACATCCACGGGCGAGGCCGTCGCCGTGACACGATGCCATGCAGCACATGCATGCCGGACGCAGCACTCCGGACCGGATCGGGAGAGACACGCAGCACACATGGCGAGCCAGGGCAAAACCCAATGGAAGAGCAGCACAAAATCACCGTGCTGGTTCAGCGGCACGGAAGCCGGCGAATATAACGGTGCACGACGAGGGTGAAGATGCTGTGGCGAAAAGCGGCGCGACATTGGGTGGTGGTGGTGTGGTGGTGGGTGGTGGTGGTGGTGGTGGGGGCAACATGCAGGAATCGAGACGGAGGGGACATCTGGAGGGACATTTGCCGAAGAACACGACCAGGGTCGGGGCAGATCGAAGGAACAGACGGGGATGGACCGATGGACCCGATGGAAAAAGTGGCGTGGGGTCGGTGCTTGGCGCGTGACAGGATGCTGGATACAGAGGGCAGGGCTGCGCGTGGGTGCAACGCGTGGGGACAAGGCCGCGTAATGGGCACAGAGAGCTGTGTGTGCCGGATGCGGGGAGGCGGCGGGCAACGAAGCGCGCGGCGACAAGGCGCAGCAGCGCACCACGCCCCCACACGGCTGGCACTGCTCTGGGTGGCCACAGAGACTGTGGCGGAACAGAGCGCGCCGCCCGCGCCAGTGCGCGCAGTGCGGCGTCGGCGGCGGCGGTGGGCGTGACTGCCGCCAACGGTACTGACTGCTGAAGAGAGTTTGTTCTGGGATGCGGGAGTGGGTCGGGCCGGGGCCTGTCTTTGGAGCAGGCTTCGCCATCGGAGCGAGTGCGCTTGCAGGGACCGGTGGGCAAGTCGAGCCAAGCTCCAGATGAAATTGCGCTTGCGGGGAGCAACACAACAAGCACCTGGCGCTCTCCACGCCTTGCTGCAAGGGCGCGCAAATGGGCTGTGCTGTGCTTGTGCTGCGGCGTCCGAGAGGCGGGGGCACAGGCGGAGCTTGTGGCCATGCGCAACGGTGGCGCACGGGCTGGCGGAGAGCCATGGCCGACGCGCGCGGGGGAAACGCGCTCATGCGACGGAGTGACGCGGCCACAGGACGACCACCCACGCACAAGAGGCAAGCCGAGAGCTCTGAGTGGCCGGCTGGGTCCGCAGCTGGCCGGTGGGGACACCGCTGGCGATTGGCCGCGGCGGCAAGCCCGGCGGCACAGCGGCGGAGGCCTTGTTGGCGCCAGCGCAAGGGAAAAAAGGGATATTCCGGCCGACGCGTCTGTGTGCCCCTGCGAGTGGTTGTGTGGCACGCAGGTGCGCGCAGCGATAATGCATTCTGAGATGCGCAGTCGCAGACGAGCCGTCGACACACTGCACAACGGCGGGATCAAAGCAAAGGGACATGGTTGCTTGGCGACTTGGCGACTCGCACAGCACAGTGGATGACATTGCGCGACAGCAACAAACAGCACACAGCACAGCACAGCATAGCATAGTGTGCTCTGTGCCTGTACCTCTGTCCGCCCGGCTGCGCAGACCGGCCGGGTCCGGCCTGATCCTCCGATGGGCTGCCGCCATCGGAGCCGGTTCTGCACATGGCTGCGGGCCTGTGCCTGGAGTCACCGCCAGCTCATGCCGACGAGTCTGTCGTCCTGGCGGCTGTCTCGGCCGCCTTGGGCTGCTTGCCAAGCCGCTTACTGTTCCTTGCCCGTGGTGGCGAGGCCAAGCAACGCACAGGACTTGCGACCCATGGCGACAGGCCACGATGGGCAAGACGAGAAAGGCGGATTCCTGTGACGCCATACACGGGCCCCCACTGCCCCTCCCAAGCGTGAGGCTGTGTCCAGGAAGACAAACGTTGGGGCAGACGAAACACAGGCGGGAGCGTGCCGGCAAGGCAGGCGTCCATGTTTGACGCGCCCAGAGGAGGGACAAGGACCACAAACACGCAAGAAGAAAAGCACAGTGCCCGTCAAGGACCATGGACGGCGAGAGCGAGAGCGAGGGCCGGACAGCGAGAGAGGGGACGGAGAGAGGCGCGTGTGTGTGTGCAGACACAGTGATACCCTGACAGCTCACACGGACAGCTCACACGGACAGCTCACGGACAGCTCACCCCAGCGAGAACTTCCCGGCGAGAACTCCCCAGCGCTATATATTCCGCGCGGGCCCCGGGCGCCCTTGCAAGCCCTTTTCTGGCCTCCTCGGGCTTCTTCCAACTTTTGCCTTTGATCTGCATCATCCAAGTCCGTCACCCAAGTCCATCATCAAGTCCATCATCCGCCGATCCATCCGCCGATCGATCATCCATCGCCAGTCCATCGGTCCATCCTCCCTCCCCTTCTTCCTCCCGCCCTCTGTCCTTTGCCTCCCCCCCCCGTATATGTTGCTTACGCCTGCCGCGCCCCCGCCTCTGTCGGTCTCCCCCTGAGCTCTGTCGTCCTTCCTGCTGCCGCCCCCTCAACCGCCGAGCCGAGCCATGCTGGACGACATAGCCTCGCTGCCGCCCAGCTCTGCCGCCATGTCCTTTGGCCGCCCTGCTGCCGACCCCGCCCCTTCGCCGTCGCTACGCTCGTGCCTGGTTCTGCTGCTCTCTCTGCTGCCTGCTCCCGCCGCCCTCGGCGCTGCCCTTCCCGATCTCCCTCAATCCAGCACTGTCTCCCCGTTCCTGCCAACTGAAGCCTCGACCCTGCTCTTGCCTAATTCTGCTGCCTTCACCTCATCGCCTGTCCCTGACCCTTCGGTGTCCACGACCATGTCCGCATCCATGTCTTCGATCATGTCTTCGGCCGTGTCGCCATCCAATCCCTCCCTGCTTCTTACAGACTCTGCTAATCTCCCTTCCCCAACCTCCCTCTCTGTCGCCTACACCTTGCTCGCCTCCCCGACTGATGCTCTGCCACCCACCTCTGTGCCGATCCTCCGTAGACTCATCACGAGACACTCGTCCATCACCACTTCGGACGGCCCGCTCGTTCCCGCCCCCGCTCCCACCGCCACCACCACCACCACCGTCCTCGTCCGCGACCTTGCGCCGACGACCTCCCCCTCGTCCGTGTCCCCCACCACAACCGTCGGCCTCGGCCTCGAGCACATCCAAGACAACAGCTCACCTGGCCCCGTGCCCACTACCACCACCTCCTCTTCCCCCGTCCCCACCTTCTCTCAACGCTCGGCCCAGAGCCAAGCCATTCTTGCTCCGACAGCCAAACCACCGACCCCCGCCAGCACCTCACCCCTCAACGACTCGTCCTCCGCACCGGCACAGGTGCCCCACACGCAAAAGAACACGGCTCCCTCGGCCGAGAGCGAGGCTGACTCCTCGACAGTCTATATCAAGATTGCCCTCGGCGTCGTGGCTTCGTGCATCTTCCTGGGTGTGGCCCTGATCATGGGCAAGCGCTTCCAGTCCACCGAGCCCTTCTGGGTCCAGAGCTCAGCATCCCCATCCCCCTCAATCCACGACTCTTCTCGTCGACCCTCGAGTCGGTCTTCCCCTTCGGCTGCCTCCCTCACACCTCCCTCCAAGGCCTATCGAGCCAGCACCGACATCGAGATGGGCAAGCTCTCTGCGACAAAGCAGTCGATCCGGTCGCTGGACAACCAAAGGAGCGCCCCGACCGTGCGATCCATCATGATTCAGCCCCCGGCCTCGTCGAGCGCCTCTCCCGTCGTCGTCGCCGCCTCCCACAACGACAAGACCCTCCAGCCACGACCACACAAGGCCAACATGGTGCGCTTCAGCCTGGAGGAGCCCGAGCGCCCCTCGCGGTCCTCTGGCAACTACTCGTACGGTCACAGCAGCGCCGGCCGCAGCGACAACGACAACGGCATCCCCACCCTGGCCTTCACCAAAATGAGCTGGTCTCTTCCCAGATCGCCGTCTGCTCCGCCTGTCTCGGCCATTGGTCGCAGCATCAGTCCCGCACCATCGGACCTCACGATGGCCTCCATCGACACCTCTGGCTCGCGCGACAGCCTGTTGCGCCCGCTGCCCCGCCACTCTTTGGACCAGGCCAACCGCTTGCCTGCCTCGACCAAGTTGCCGCCCCTGAATCATCCTGCCACGACTCCCTTCCTCCCCGTCGACTCGATCGCCTCGCGCGACGCATCCGTCCGTGCGAGACCCAAGGGCAGAGGACACTCGCGCAACTCGAGCGTCCGCCTGGCCGGGATGGACCATCCCTCCAACATGCCTGTGCTCGTGGTTTCGGATCACTCCAACGCCCTCAACCCCAGCGTCCTCAGCTTGAAGCTCGAGGAGGTTGCCCAGCATATGGATCGGTAGCCGTGTGTCTCCCGGCAACGATGAAAACACCGGCGCATAGATGGTGCCTGCACCACGGCACATCCATTCTCCGACCTTCCCTTTCGTGAGCTCCGACTCCCTGAGCTCGGCTCGCACCCCGACTCTCTCGGGTCCGAGTCCTCCCTGTCCCTATCCCTCGCTCCTCTCCCGCCTGAATCCCTGGGTATCACTCTCGATAGTGCACTGCTCTTTCCAATCATTCATCCGCACCTCTGTTGTCTGGCTTATTTTATTTTGTGGATCATTCATTCCTCCCCGCTGCTGACCCTATTATTATTATTATTTTATTCTTATGTGATATTTGAAAGCATTGCACGCACTTGTTTTCTCATCCGAAAGGAAAGCTGCACTGTCGCTCTCTCTTCCTCGCTCTCTCTCTCGCTCTCTCGCTGCCTCCTCCTGCTCTTGGATCGTAAAAATTGAAATTGAAAAAAAATGCCTCACAGCCAAGCAGGAATTGCGCACTCCCATTCGGTGTCTTCCCTACCCCCCTCTCCTTGCTCGACTCTTCCTTCCCATGGAAGGAGAGAGTCAATAAAGAAAAAAAAATTCATTGACGCTCGATCTGCATCTCCCTTGTTCCCCATGTCTCCCTTGTGTTGGTCTTCAGAGCTTGCTGCGCGGCGTTGCGTATCTCGAGATGCAATCAGGTCGTCACTGAGCCAGACAGAGGCATTGATAGGTAATCCGACAACGGCCAAACTCAGGATCGATCAGATCTCACAGGGCGGGAGTCGATGGTCATTTACGAGCGATGGATAGATAGACTTTATTCCGGTACAAATAATCGGCAACAAATCAAATAGTAAAACAAAGAGCAGGATGGGGTTCTTCCCGCTTACAGTCTATCCAGAAAGTAACGTGACAGTTCCTTCCTGGCTTCAGAAGTCTGAACCCCGCTGACTGACTGTAGGCCCAGCGGGCAAGCCGTGAGATTTTTTCTCGTCCTGGTTGGCAATCGAGTGGTTTTGGTTGGTTCGGGAGCACAGTCTTGAATACACTCGGTCGATCTCCTGTGGCGATGATCGACTGGCATACCGAGATCATGTTCCGTGAGGCATTGATGTCTCAATGTGTGAGTGTGGTGCATTCACTCGACCCTCTGCACAGCTTCATGGTGTATCGATATCAAGATGCTCGACCTTCTCGAGTCGCTTGGCTTCCCGGCAATGTGAGCACACCTGTGATGTGTTGAACTCGTTCACCGAGCACACATGGATCTTGGAGACGGATGGGTGTGGTGGTCGTCTCTGGTGGGTGAACTGCTCAAAGTACTTGGCGAACCTGAGTCTCCCGGGACTGGATGCATATCCCTTCCCCTGTTTCCAGGATGCATTCCCAAAGGCAATCACCACTTCGGTCTCCTTGGACATACTGAATAGCTATGAATGCGATGAGTGGGTGGGTGTATTCAGGTTCCAGAAAAAACACTGTCATGGCCCAAAAAACGGGGGTGTCCCATTCATTCTGGAAACGCTTAAAGACTGGCGCGCTCGTACCTGTTAGTGAATTGGAAAGGAGGAGGAAGGAAGGAAGGAAGGAAGGAAGGAAGGAAGGAAGGAAGGAGGAGGAAGGAAGGAAGGAAGGAAGGAAGGAAGGAAGGAAGGAAGGAAGGACGGAAGGAAGGAAGGAAGGAAGGAAGGAAGGAAGGAAGGAAGGAAGGAATGGAAGGAAGGAAGGAAGGAAGGAAGGAAGGAAGGAAGGAAGGAAGGAAGGAAGGAAGGAAGGCAGGAAGGAAGGAAGGAAGGAAGGAAGGAAGGAAGGAAGGAAGGAAGGAAGGAAGGAAGGAAGGAAGGAAGGACGGAAGAAGGAAGGAAGGAAGGAAGGAAGGAAGGAAGGAAGGAAGGAAGGAAGGAAGGAAGCGAGATCAGTGGATCGTGCGGTTGTACGCAAGTTGCGGGCTTGTTGGTCCCGTTGCATCAGACAACTGGAGAGCAAGTGAACCAGACCCATGACCCCAGCACACTCGATACTCGATTACTCCCCACCGCTCGATTACTCCGACAGGAGCACCACTTACTGCGGAGGCCAGTGCACCTTCACGTTGAGCTCCTTGGCCGCGTTCAACACAAAGTTGGGGTTGCGGAGGAACTCGCGGGCGAGAAAGACAACGTCGGCCCGGCCCGAGGCAATGATATCGTTGGACTGGTTGGCGCCGGTGATTTTGCCGGTGGGTCCGGTCAGGAGGCCCGGCACGGCCTTGCGCACCCTCTCCGAGAAGGGCGCGTTCCAGGCATCGACATGGTAGGGCAGCTTCTGGGCCGGGTGGTTGCCGCCAGAGGAAGTGTCGAGCAGGTCCACGCCGAGATCAAACAGGATCGGGGCGAGCCGGACGGTTTCGTCCTCGGTCCATCCGCCCTCGACCCAGTCGACACACGACAGGCGCAGGAAGACAGGCTTGTTCTCGGGCCAGTTGGCGCGGACGGCCCGGACGACCTCGAGCAGCAGACGGATGCGGTTTTCGAAGGAGCCGCCTGGATGAGAGGAGTTCGAAGGGAGCGCCGAGTCAGTGGAGCATCGTTTCATGCCGTGCCGCTGTCGTGTCGTTGCCGTTTTCGCCCACCATGCCGAATGCTCCTGGTCTGTGGTCTTCATGGATCACAGTCCCAGCCGATTGCACAGACAGAACCAGGATCAAACACATACCGTATTCGTCGGTGCGCTGGTTCGACAGGGGCGACAAAAAGTTGTTGATCAGGTATCCGTGCGCGCCGTGGATCTCAATAACATCGATGCCGGCAAGATGGGCTCGACGGGCAGCATCGCCAAAGGCCTTGACGACGCGGGCAATGTCTTCCTTGGTGGCCTCCTTGGGGGTGCCAGCCTCGTCCCAGTGCTGGATGCTGCTGGGGCCGATGATGGCATCGGGCCAACCGCCGTGCTCCTTGGCTGCGACGGTGTTCCAGCCTCTGCGCGAGTAAGGCGAGAAGGGCGAGTAGCAGGAAGCCTTGCGGCCAGCGTGGGCGAGCTGGACGCCGAGGAGCGATCCCTGCGAATGGACATACTCGGCGATCTCGGCGAGCTCGTGCTGGTGTTCGTCTTTCCAGAGCCCCGTACAGTTTGGGCTGATTCGGCCCTCAGGGACGACGCCGGTGGCCTGGTTGCGACGATCAACGGGAGGGCAAGTTTAGGCGACGGCGGGGGCGATGATGCGGTTGATGGGGGCGAGGATGCTGTCGATGGGGGCGAGCACCAGATGATATGCTTCCATACCTCCAAAATGATGAGACCAGCGCCGCGGGTGGCGAGCTGGCCGACATGGACCAGGTGCCAACTGTGACCGTTTGGCACATCGTTTAGCGTATCGTTTGGCACATCGTTTGGAATCAGAACAGATCGCCTGGGTCAGATCCCATCACATCCAGACCAGATCGGAGCAGATCAAACGGGTGGCAAGCACGATCGTCTCGTGAATCGAGGCACATCACATGCGAGAACGAATCCGACACGTATTGATCAACGATCGACCCGATCGACATGCATCCAAAGCCCTCCGTCACCACAGCCGTCAGCTTAGCCGCATCTCCGTGCTTACTTGTTCCAGTGGCCGTCAACAGCCGAGTACTGGCACATTGGCGAGACAAAGATACGGTTGTTGAAGGTGACGCTGCGGATGGTCAGCGGCTGGAAGAGCGGCACATCCGTGGGCTCCACGGCCGAGCCGACCTTGACGAGATGGATCTCCTTGGGAATCGGGCCGAGAACGGTCATGACGGAGATGATGAGCTGGGAATCGGGTTTGTTGCGGGGTGGATGCCGGCGCTGTCGAGTGAGGAAAGGGAGAGAGGCAGCCTTGATCTGCGAGGCTTTATACCCCCCAGATTTCTAATCGCGGACGGAGACGGTGAGGCCCGGAATGGCCGGAATGGCGTCAACGAGGCTGGTAGAAAGGGCGGTCTCGGCTGCAGCAGCGGCATGGGTGGATGGGCGGGGCGGATGTTTCCTGGGAATGGGGCTGATGCACGAGCGATCCGCTGGGCGACACACTGGCAGATTGACGGGGTGATAGAGCATCGGCGAGAAATCGCAGAGACCCATGTGTTTGATTCCAGTTTCTCGGTGAGTGCAATGCTGCCCTTGGCCATGCTCACAGCGATCTGCAACCGTGTGCACATCTGAGTTCTGGGAGTCGCCCACCAAAGTGTGGCTTCACCCGAGCATGCCGATATTCAAGCCGATATTCAAGTCGATTGCGCAGCGCTCGTGACAAATACAAGCGAGGCGTTTGATATATCGTATTGTCCAGGGCGCGAGGTATTTGATATGCCGCATTGTTGTGGGTGTGCCGTTCGGCAGGAGTCGCACTCACTCGAGCCGATGACAAATGCACCGACAGCCGTCACTGAGATGCGGGGAGGCAGGATTCTCTCCGGCGAAGGGCATCCAGCACGGAGGAAATACGCCATCTGGCAAGGCAAGCCAGACGATGCGAGGCCCAGCGGGTTGTCAACGTGGCCGAATCGGTGCCATCTGCATTTGAAATCGCGTTTGCGACAGCGCAAAGGCTGAAGCTGAAGCGAAGAAAGGCTGAAGCGAGGCCAACGGATGCCGAGCCAGCGCAACAGAGTTGCAGCAGAGCAGCGCCGTGGATCTGAGCAGGAGAGAGGGACGGTGCCGATCCACACTCTGGACTGGCGTATTGTTGGATGATTGTTGGCGCTGCTGCGAAGGGATCCGTCGGCGAGAAAAGCGATGCCGAGGCCGAAACAATCAAGTGCCGAGGCATTGACACAGGCTGTCAAGAGCCGGCATGGGCTGCCGAGAGACCATCCTTTCAACGACACGAATTATCCTTTCAACGACACGAATTATCCTTTCAACGACACGAATTAGCCACCCAACGCCTTCACGATCTACGCGGCGGTATCGTTATCGCTGTCGTTGTCATGACCCATGCTGGCTGCCGAACCCGCTGACCTTGGCAAGTCGATCAGCGCTGCCTGCGGCGGGATTGATGATCGTTCGGCTGCCACTGTTTTGCGATCGGCGCTCTCGGTCGTGGCTGATCCTGCGGGCGCTGCAGCAGCCTTGGGTCTGCCCCGAGACCTTGCCCCGAGACCTTGCCCAGAGACAATGTCGTGGGTTCTGCGCGGCTGCCTGTCCCTCCTCAGGAGCACTTCCGCAGCCGCTTTGTTCGCCCCACGCACGACATGGATATTTCTCAGCGCTCCCGCGCTCTCGACTCTTGCGGTGGGCAGCAGTCTCCATCTGCATTCTCCCAAGTCGACATCGTCTCTTCAGATCCGTTCATCGCTCTTCAAGTCTGTCGACTCTCCAGTTTCATCCCTCGCTCCAAGACACCTCTCTCCCGGCACCTTCTCTCCGGCAAGATCCCCGTCCCGTCCCTCGCGCCCAACGTCCGCGCCCTTTCCTCGAATTTTCCGCCGTTTTCTCCGTCGTGCAGACCTTTGTTTCTGCCACCGTCGCCGTCGTCGTCGCTTTCGCCATCGCCTCGCCATCGCTCCAACCGCCGTGCGTCGGAACAATCTGCCTCTGCTTCCGAACGGCTTCCGAACGGCTTCCCAACAGTCTCGGAGCCACCTCCATCGCCCTCACCATCCTCCATCGCCCTCACCATCCTCCAACGGCCTGCGTTGACTGCTGTGCGGCTCCGATCGCTTGTGCATCGCGTGCCCCCCCTGCATCACTCGCAGTTCCCGCCCGCTGTCCGAATCGCTCGACGGTCTTCGGCTCTCTGGGACGCCTTTGGCGAGGCTTTGCTGCCCCAGACCATAATCTGACATCACGCCTCGTCGACACCGTCCCTCGCGAAGCAAGGAACCTCACCATTGTATCTCTCGAGCCTTGCACACGCCCATTGCAATCCAATTGCAATCCCACTGCAATCCCGCTGCAATCCCACTGCAATCCTGCCAACTTCGCGCACGGCATCGCATCCCTCGGCTATCACCATCTCAGCCTCGCTTCCTGGCGTCGTCGCTTTGTCCAATTCCGCAATCCCGCAATCCCGCAATCCCGCAATCCCGCAATCCCGCAATCCTCACCCGTCCTCGGCTACTCCAATGAGCGGCTCAATTCTGTCCCCAGATGGCTTGCCCATCATGGCCAGCCAAGCGACCCTGGCTCCGCTGCAGCTCGGCTCGCTACCTTACGATATCCAACTCCACCTCATTGGGTGCATGTCCGACATCCCGTCGCTGGTGGCTCTGTGTTCATCCTGCAGGCACTTTTTCTCCGACCCGCTCTACCGGGCATACTTTGATCGCCGCCTCATCTTCCTGATCCGCCACGGCCGCTGGAACACCAAGGGGCTGCTGCCGTTCGTCTATGCCTCGCGCATCGGCCATATGCCCATCCTGCGGCTCCTGCTGTGGTCCGACTCGGCCCAGTACCGGGAGGCCTTTGCTGGCCCCTTCGACTCCAACTTTGGCTCAGCCCTGGCCTGGGCCGCCCGCATGAACCGCTTCAAGACCGTCGAGTTTCTGATCCGCAACTGGATCCACAACCCGCCCACGTCGCTCGATCCCTACATCACCGAGACGGCCTCCCTCGGCCACCTCGAGACCCTGCAGGTCCTCCTGGCCTTTGACCAGGCAGTGACTCCAAAAGCCGTCGACAGCCCGCCGCCGGCACCGCTCCTGGGTCTCTTCTGCTTCCACATCGAAAGCAAGGGCGAGGACTTTGAGTATCGCGATGCCTTTTTCGAGTCCTACAAGATGGGCCACCTGCACATTATCCGCTATCTTCTCTCGCACTGCCGCCAGAGCGGCCTGTCACTGAATCTGCCAAAGTACAGTCTCCTCTTCCTGGCCTGCGAGCAAGGCCGCGCCGACATTGTCCAGTTCCTCATCAAGGATGGCATCGACCTCAACTTTGGCCTGGGCCGGGCCCTGCGTCTGGCCCACATCCACCACCGCGACGAAGTCTATACCCTGCTCGTCCAAAACGGCGCCTCCAGCTGGATCCAGATCATCGGCATGTCCCTTCAGACCGTGCGGTCCCTCCTGCAGTACCTCACTGACTACCGCATCTGGGAACTCTACCGGGTCTTTTTCCTATACATGTTCCTGTACTGCGCCTCTACAGCCATTCATCACTTTGTGCTGTTTTGGAGAGGCTCGCTCTCGGCGGTGGTCTACTTCAACTGGGTCGTGGTCGGCATCGTGGGCTTCCTGCTGGTCTCGACGATCTGCTCGTGAGGGCACCTGCGTCGCCTCGAACGAGCACGCCACGGAACTGCCGATCACCTCGAAACGCCCCCCAACATCAAGCTCGTTCAAGACTCACTGCTGCATGTCCACCCCGGCGTCCATCCCTCAGGGAATGTCTATCAACAAGTATCCATCAGGAAGTATCCACCATCAGGAAATGCCCCCCAGGTCTCTCAAACTGCTCAAGGCTCCTCTGCTTCTCTCTGATTTGTCTGCCGAGGCAAGCCACGGCGGCTGTCGCTGTGGACCGCATTCACTTCTCCCTATCGTCATTGCTTCTCCCCATCGCCATTGACTATTCACTTGACTATTCACTTGACTATTCACTTGACTATTCACTTGACTATTCACTTGACTATTCACTTGACTATTCACTTGACTCTCGCGCCCACCACACCGCTGGCTCTTTCGCTTCTGCTTCTGACTCGCGTGATCCTGGCAGCGGTCCTGTCATCTCCAGCAATACCCATGCGTCTTTCGTGGGACCCTTCGTTTCTGGTCTTGCTTGCTTTTGTGCCATTATGCAATGTCCTCCTATACTCGATGCGACTTTTGAACTTATCGGAGTGCCAATCCAAATTTTGTCACTTTCATGGATCTGGTTTCCTATTTCTTCTCTCTCTCTTTCACTCGCTCACTCACTCTCACATACATTTCTTCTTGCGCGCTCTTGCCGTTCGTCATGATCGTCTCGACTCATTCCGAAATCAGCGGCGTCGTCTTGCAGGGAAGGACCGCACCCCTTTCGCCTCCTTCCCCTCCTCTGCTCTCCAGCCCATTTTGTAGTTCTGTGCGCCTTAGCTTAGTTCTTTGCTTGCTCTGTCAACAGACAATATGGTTTTCCAATTCCCCTTTGCCCTTACTCTTTCCCTTGGGCGCTGTTGATATCCTCGTATTTTTCACATGTATCTATTTATTCGCCAAGTTCTATTGCTCCATGAATCGGCTGACTGCCCTGTCTCTCTCCCCCGGCCTTCCCGTCCCGTTAGCCCTCCGGTGTGGTGCTGGGTCACCAGCATTCACATGTCAAAGCCCCAGCCCACATGCCCAAGTCGGCCTCATGATCAAGCTGGCTGTCCCGCCAGGCGCTGGCATGACCTCACGGTCCTTCGTGCCATTCGATCCTCCCAGTATCATGTGGCATCTGTTTGGATGGATGGGTCCACACGCCGTGGATCCACTCGCCTTGGCCATTCGGTCCGCCCAGATCCTCAGCTACTGCGCCCTGACTGACGAGGTCTTCGTGTGTCGCCACCGTCGCCGACGATGATGAGCCCCCCCCCCTGCCGCCGCCCTCGGCGTTTGGAGCCACTACTTTTCCTTGATCCACAGGGTGCTCACCACTTTGATTGATCCACATGTTTTCTTCTTCGTGTGATTCTCGTTCTCTCATTCCCAACCACCACCACATGCCCAACCGCCACCGCCATGCCCAAACCCACCACCACCAACAAAAAACGATCATTGCTCCTTGTATACTCGAGCGCACTCGTCCCAAGAATACAGTTCTTCCCAGAAACGACGCTCCATTCCCTCTTCATCCCAAACGATGCGACCGTGTCTGCGGGTGGTCGCTGGACAGTGTCGAGATAAAGAGAAGGCAGTGCTCGCAGCCACCATCTTGTCTGCTGGATGATGGAAACCGTAGATTGTGATGGCCGTGGCACTGGAACCCACTGGATGGACATGCCTGTATATTCCAGATCGAGGAGTGTGGACAATGTCGTTGGAGACAGAACACTCTTCACCGATTGCAATATGTGAACATCGCAAGGGCAACAGCCCATTCGTGGTCGATGCTGTTTACATAGATGGGACATGGAAGACGATCCCGTCAATGTCCTTGTTCGCCTTGATCTGGCACGAAAGACGCGAGCTGTCGAAAGGACGATCATCAAACACAGATGCGTGGGTGAGTAAAGCTGACGAGTGATGTATGCTGAAACAGATCTAGGCCATCGACGCCCTGGAAATGGCTGCCGATTGTGGGAAACACACCCATCACGCTCATGTAAATCCTCAAATCCAACGCCATCCTGCTTCGGCATTCTCTGCGACGGCGACTCACTTCTCGGCCCTTCCCACGGCGTATTCGAGCATATCTTCTTCGCTGTCGGACGGCGGTGGGATCTTGCTGACAAACGACGGATCGACTGTTTCACACACACACCCAAAAGACACACCATCTCATTAGCCCTCGAGGTGTCCAAATCGATCGCGTGGAGCACCCCCTGGATGTGATCGGAGGCGAGCCCTTCAGCTTGCACCGTCGTGGCTGCATCGGTCGGTCAAGAGTGCCTACCAATGACATGACAGGTAGCGCATTCGAGGTTGCCACCACAGGCACCTTCGATCGACGGGATCTCCTTGGACTTTGCAAATTCCATGAGGGACATGCCCAGAGGCACGCTGAACACCTTGTCTTTGCCTCCGGTAGCAAAAGTCACTTGGATGCTGCCACGGACAATACGTGCATGTCAGAATCCGCGTATCCCGAGTTCTCAATCGCCAACGCCGGCCAGCTACCTCCTCTCGGCCATACGATCTCGGATTCCAAGATCGATGGAGCGTATCCGACTGATCCATCAGTCAGAGGCCGGCGGGGAGAGTCATCCGCAGCTGCGTCTCCGTGCCGGGGACTTGGGGCCGGGTTTGTCACTTGTGCATGGGCAATCTGTACTGCACCCCACCTATCTGTCGAGCCAGCGTCTTGGGCTTCCTGCGATGAGCTGGGGGCACTTGAGGAGTCCGAGCTTTGACGGAGCAGTTCAATCTGTTGTTCTTTCGAAAGCCCCAAGCGGCCTCTCCAGTGACTCCAGAGCTCGCGGCCAGAATCGAGCGATGCTAGCAGCTCGTCGGCCTTTTCGCTGGTGAGATTACCGTACCAGTCACCGGATGGGAAGGCTCTGGCCGTTTTGGGGGATGGCGACGATGGGAGTGAGTCGATACGCCTCGTCCCTGCAAAGCGCTTCCAGTCAGCATCGCCCACTCGACTTACATGACATTGCCGGCATACTTGTGGCCGCCGATGTGCGAGATCTGGAAGACCCGGATATCCGCGCGGGTCGCTGTAGCCTGCTTGAGCTTGGTGAAGAGTGGACGGCCAAGGTCGCCACAGCGACAGTCTCGCTCGCCGTGGGTGCAGACATAGAGATCGATCGATTTGCCACGCTGGCTGACTTCGTCGAGACCCTGGACAGGGTTGCCAGACTCCAGCCGCTGCAGGAGCAGCGGGATCTGCGACTGGGCGACCGAGGGAAAATAGATCTGGTCCGGATAGAGCGTCAGTGCATAGGCGGGCTCGGCAGGCGGCGCTGTCGAGGTGGGCGAGGCGGCAGGCCGAGCATCGGAGCAGCTGAACTTGATCTTGAGGAGGTTGAGCTGCGACGAGAGCGATCCGATGTAGGCGTTGGTGTCCTCGACCTTGGAGGGCCAGCGATCGATCCCCGATGACAAGATCAGATGCTTGCTGTTGGACGAGGCCGATCCGACAAAGCCTTCGGGCTGGCTGTGGGTGCTGAGGCGAGCACGCTGGCTCCAGAGCGCACCCAGCGAAGAGGGCCAGCGGGGGCCAGCGACGACGGATCGGAGGAGCGAACGCATCAGACAGCGAACGGATGCCGGTGGGACGGACGAGTCGACCGAGGGAGCGGGGAGCGGGTGCTGGTGCTGGTGGAGATGCTGGTGCTGGTGCTGGTGGAGATGCCAGAGTCCCAGCTTGCACTATTTCTGCATTTTCCGCGGAGCGAATCCGGGATATGGGCCGGGACGCGGGACGAATCGGCGGGCTGCCTGCGGGGAGGCAGAGATCGCATGGCCGAGATCGCATGGCCGAGATCGCACAGCGCTGCGCCGTGGGCTGGGAGGCGGGTGCGCTGACCCAGGGCATCCGGCGGTACCAGATGATACCAGCCAGCATGGCATCCGAGCGAGGAGTGCTTGGAGGTTGTCCTGGGCAAGATGGTCGAGAGGCAATATCGCCGATGCAAGTCTGCGGCATTGGCCAGCGGCTGCTTGTCCAGGCTGAGTCTTTGCTGCCGTCCGACGCCTGCTCCTGGCCCAGACATCCTTTGCCCAGGCGCCGTCTGCAAGTCTGCTTGGATCCACTGGCGAGCGCCTTTGCTGCCATGGCGTCGGGCCAGATCTCATGCAGCTGCATGATGCTGGAACGTCTGCACCGCCCTGGTTGGTGGGAGCAGCCAACCGGTGGCCAACCGGTGGCTGACTGGCGGTCCTGGCGCAACCAATCAGCGCGCGCCTTCGGAGCCACGGTTGCTGTCGCACAGACCCCCACCAGGTGGGCGCGGGACGAGCGCAGTGCAAGCCGAGCACGTGTGCACACACAGACAGCGGCGACCCACCAGCCGCAAGCAACGCGCCGGCACAAGCAAATCATCGGTGTTTGTGTCACGCGTCGATGCCACATCCCTGTGACCCTGTGCGCGACGCCGTGTAACCACGACCCCTTCTTCGGCTGCGGTGTCCCAAACGCCTTGGGACGCAAATTCGCGTTGGGTTCGGTGGCTTCTCTTTCGTGGTTTCTCGTTCGTGGCGCTGGATCGCCTTCGCCGCTGGCTCTCGCCCTCCGCTGCTTATATCACCCGCCTTGGTTGCCTCCCTCCAGCGCCCCGGCATCCCATCCGCCTGCTCTTCGTCTCCTTCCCTGCTCTCCTTCTGCTGCTCCCGTCGGCTGTCGCATCATGAAGGTCCCCCTTGGCGTCGTCAAGTGGAGCCAGGTCCTCATCCTGTTCCTGCTCAACGTCTCCTGCAACCTCATCTGGCTGGCCTATGCTCCCGTCGCCGATGCCTCCGCCGCCTACTTCAACGGCTCGCTCTCCGTCGTCAACTGGCTCAACAACGTCTACGTGCTCATGTTCCTCCCCGGCTCCGTGGTTTCGGCCCTGGTCCTGGACCGCTCGGGTGTCCGCCGCGCCATTCAGCTCGGCAGCATCCTGCAGTGCGTCGGCGTGGCCTTCTGCTTCGGAGCCGCCTTCGTCCAGAACTCGACCGCTCGCATCGGTCTCACCGTCGTGGGCCAGGCCATCACCGGGTTCGCCCAGCCCTTCTTCCTCGATGCCTGTCCGAAGCAAGCCTACGACTGGTTCCCTGTTGACCAGCGGGCAGTCCCCACCGCCTGCTCCACCATTGGCAGTCCAGTCGGCAGTGCCGTGGCCTTCCTCATCGTCCCGGCCGTGGTTCAGTCACAGGGCGATATCCAGACGCTGGTAGGTATCGCGACCGTGTTCGCATTGGCCAGTGCTTGCTCGGACCACGGAGCCACATTGTCTGGAAGCTTGAGAAGGGATCGCTTGCTGCGTGCTTTTATCCAGCCAGGGGCACCGTTTTTCCAGTCCGGCAAAATATCACCCACTAAAACCGTGTCGCCGTGATCTTCCCAACCAGCTCCTCTACTACACCTGCCTTCTCGCCGGCCTGATGATCATCACCTTGGTCGTCGCCCGAGAGCCTCCCCCTCAAGCAGAGTCGGCTCTGAAGGAAGAAGTCCGCATCGAGACATCGCTCAGAAAGTCGTACAGCAAGTGTCTGGGCACCAAGCTCTTTTGGCTGCTCAGCGTCACCGCTGCCGGCGGTATCTCTCTCTTCAGCGACTTTACCTCGTACCTCAACCAGATCATGAGCCCTTACGGATACACTTCGGTGGGTCTTTTTCTCTGAGCTGGCGATCGGCGCATGTACGATCGGCGCATGTACGATCGGCGTGCTTCTGCCGAGACTGTCGCAAGTCGCCAGCCACCTTACCCTGTCGAGGTGCAATCCTTGGCGTCTGGCAACTTGCGCACAGCTCCGAGCATCTCGCTCGCTCTCTGTCCACACAGCCTCGTACCTGCTGGAGCGCTGTCTAACCGTTGCATCCTGCGTCTGCATCCAGGACGACACCGGCACGATGGGCGCTGTCCTGGTCTTCAGCGGCGTCATAGCCACCTTTGTTTTTGGCTACCTCGCCGATCGCACCCGCCGACATGCCGTGATCCTCAAGGTCAACGTCCTGATGGTCTTTGTGGGCTACGTGTTCTTTTCGATCATTTTCAACAAGCCCGGCAACTTTGTTCTGGCCGTCGTTGCCTGTGCCATCATCGGTATCTTCTCGGTGGGCAGCTTACCAGGTAGGCTTGGCTCTGAAGCCCATGCCCATTGACAGTACACTGTGCAGCCGTGGGTCCTGTGTGGTCCCATTAATTGGCAGTGACCGTCGCAGATCTGGTCTCTGTCCATCTCGTTGTGTTTCTGACTCGGCTCAGGTCATAGCACCTTGGGCCCTGTGTCGAAGCCATCTAGACGCCTGTGATTCCGCTAACCTTGTTCCCGTTCTGCTCTTCTTTATTCATCCAGTCTTCCTCGACATCATCGTTGCCGTCACCCGCCAACACGGCATCGGCGAAGGTGTCTCCATGTCGCTGTTGTGGGGCTCCTCCCAGGTTTTGATCGTGATCATGAACGTCATCTGGGATCGCACGCGCAACCCAGATCAATCCTATCCTGCCGTGCCCTGGATCGTCCTTGGAACCTGGGCTGCCTGCCTGATCCCGCTTCAGTTCTATCCCCTGAGCCAAGACATGATCCATCTTGATGCTCGTCTGAAGGAGCTGTCCGGCGACCACGAGGGCGCCAAACACTGAGCCAGCCCACTCCGTCCTCGAGGAGGCAAGCACACCTTCGCAGCCTTGCTGCTGTTGACTCGAGACCGATCACCCCTCCGATCTCCTTCACCCACTCTCGCCCTCCAGAGCAAAAGCAAACCCGAGTCCTTTGCGATATCAAGCAGCCCAATGGCCTCGGGTGTCCTGCTCCCTTTCTGTGTTCCATATTCATTATCGTCATCCTTGTACTGCGTTGAAAAAAAAAGTCTTTCGATGGATACATCACTTCCTTTTGGCAAGACTGGAGGTCCCAGAGAGCAGGAATGGCGGCGCCATCTGAGTGGACCATGGAGATGATGAGTCTGTGGGCACTGCAGGCTCTGTGGCCATGATCCCATCCGATGCCGGCTGCGATATCTGCAGCCCTTCCGCAGGCAGCCAGCTATTGCGTATGATGTGGGAAGCAATGGCTCGCTAACCGCTTCGTCACTGGGCCCATTACAGGCAATCCAATAAAAAACGGGACACCCGGGTTTTTGACCATTCATCGAATATTTTGTTACCCAATGTTATCGCGCGCTGGCCATGACCATTCGCCACACATCCGACTTTCGCACCGCCGCATTGCGATGCTACGCCCTCATCCATAGCCTGCGTAAGGTCGCCTCCATATTCAGTGTATCCAAGAGCACCATCCATCGATGGCACCGAGGATGCAAGCTGGATGACCCATCCCGGGTCCCAGCTCGCAGATCCACTTTCTTCGAGCAGGCATGTCCAGTCATTCGCACCCTGATTGAACAGGACCCGTTCCAGACTGGTCCTGTGTTGCGATGCAAGCTCGAGTCCATCCTCCAGAGGAAAGTTTCACTCTCACTCTGCCACACTGCCATCCACCGAGCAGGTCTCTCACACAAGAGGGCAACACACCTCTACAAGTCCAAGCGATTGGATGAGCGAGTGGCACAGTTCAGGGACCAGGCCCGCTCCATCGACCCACGACGATTCGTTTTTGTCGACGAGACAGGGTTCAGGAGATCCACTTTCCCTCTCTACGGATACTCACCGAAGGGTGCTCCGCTTCGCCAGCGCAATCACATGAAACACAAGTCTGTCTCGGCTGCATTTGCTATCAACCACTCTGGTGTGCTGCATCGCATGTACATCCCCACATCATTCAAGACACACTCGATGGTCGAGTTCTTTGAGCGAGCGAGCTTCCCAGACGACTCTGTGATTGTGATGGACAATGTCAGCATGCACAAGACAAGGGCTGTCCTGGACTGCATCGAGCGCCGAGGATGGTCAGTGATCTTCACCCCACCTGCCTCGCCCGACTTCAATCCCATCGAGAACTTCTTTGGGATTGTGAAGCATCAGTACAGGAAGACGGCAGCGCTGAATGCGTCCGAGGGGTTCAGAGTCGGGATGGTCGCACTGTTCGAGTCCGCCGTGCGGAGGGTGCTTCCAGATGTCTTCCCACGGCTGATTGAGCGAGCGATGCGCTTCTGGGGTTGAGTTCCCTCCAATCAAGCCGCCGTTCTCACGTTCACATCCCTGGCTTGAACCTCTCGGCGATTTTTGAACAGGGTCACTTCCCAACCAGCCCGCAAAGACGGGCTCCTGCTCTCGGGTATAAATGCCACACCTTCGTCCTGCTGCTTTCTTCCCTCATCGCGCCTTGATCTGATCATCGCGCTATTGCACGATAAAAAAAAGTCTCTGCTCTGACCAGTACCACTGGCAGGCATCCAGCATCCTCCGCCCTCATGCCTCCGAAGCGCAAGGGTACCGGTGATGGCCAGCCTCGGCCACCCAGGCCCAAGAAAGCCAAGTCACAGTCGGAGCCTGTCTCTGGTTCGTATTCTGATCCCACGCATGCTTGGTCGTCTGTTGCTCCGTCGCTCACCACCACTGCTTCTGCAGATCCAATGGATGTCGATCCCACCGAGCCTGGTCCATCTACTTCCTCGAGTACCGGCAAGCGATGTCGCCAGTGCGATGGCACCGATCACGAACGCTGCAACACCAGCAAATGTCCCAAATACCGGCCCCTCAAGAGTTCTGTCGTCCCACTCGTGGATGGAAGGTCATCCGTCCCTCAGTTCAGCTGCTTCAAGCAGACGATGGATGGCTGTTGTCTCAATCCCGCTCTCCGCGACAAGATCCAGGCCACCGTCGAGGCCATGACCCAGATCCAGTTCGAGGCATCCAGGCTGCTCAACCTACATATCCTCCGGTGCATCGAGCAGGATCTTCCCGTCCCCGTCATCTCCAAGTCCACCCCTGCTTTCATCCGCCAATGCTTCAGGATCGTCCAGGCCGATGCCCTCTCGACGGCCAGGGACATCGAGCAGTACAACGAGCATCTGGTCGCTTCCTTTCGCGACTACCAGACCACTCGGCACGCAGACCTGCCTCCGGCCCCTCGTCTGCCTGATGGTGCTCACAGTCAGCTTCTCACACTGGCTGTCAATGCCTATGCCACCAACTGCACCACCCACCTCGACCTGGCCTACTGGCGACTCCTTCGCCGCTTCTGCGCTGCCGTCTTCCCAGCCAACAAGCACAAGCACGAAGCCATCGAGGCCTGTCTCGAGCTCTTCGAGAAACCAGGGCAGACTCCACCCAAGGCCGATCTCGAGTTCCTCTATCCCGACTTTGGCCACATCCTGGACGAGTTTCGGTACAGCAACGACCAGGACCGCTTCCGGGCCCTCCATCTCCTCTCACACCATGTGGGAATCCTCGCCCGGGACAAGATGGTCGACAATGTCCACAAGTGGATCGACTGTGACATGCCCGCCCTCCGAGTCACCGAGCTGCAGCGCCAGGCCAAGCTGGACGAGCTCACTGCCAGAGGCATTCCCTCCGACGACAAGAGGTTCACCACGGCCAAGTCTGAGCTCGGCACCACCAAGTCCAAGATCAACAAGCTGGCCGCCAGGATCAACTGGGCACTCAAGCAGCTCGCCGTCGACACTCCTCCGGCCGTGTGCACGATGGTTCCTCTATGCACTGCAAGGGCCAAGTATGTCAAGATCGACACCGTCACTCTCTGGGAGCTCCTGGGTCCAAAGAAGCGCCTTGGACTCACCCGGGACAAGCTCAAGGAAGAAGGCGAGGACGGCATCAACAACCAGGATCGTCTCTGGCGCAGTTGCTTCAAGCTGCGTAGTTCCCTCTTCCAAGAGCGGGATATCAATCACAAGCTGTTCAACTACGAGATCAGCACCGATGGCATTGGATGCACCATCGGCCTCGTCAAGTTTCTGCCTCGAACCGATCACACCGAGACCATCGAGCCTCCTCCGACTGCCGAGCAGCGCATCCAGGCCCACATCGGCGACCCAGACCCCGATCGCACCACTTGGATTGGCATCGATCCTGGAGTCGGCTCCATCTTCACGGCGGTCATCCAAGCACCGGGCCACCAAGACGAGATGGTCTCGTTCTCCAATGGCCACTACCAGCACATGTGTGGCCACAGGTGGCACAATACCATGAAGAAGCGACTCAGCATCGAGACCTGGATGTCGACCACTCCCTCGCCCAAGGTGTCGTCCTCGGAGGCCTTCAAGGTCCATCTCACCCATGTCCTGCGACCGGAGCTGCGAGTGCAGCTCGACTTCCACCTTGGCAAGAAGGCCCGTCACCATCGCTTCACGGGCCACAAGAGACGCCAAGTGGCCGTCGACAGGATGTGCAAGGCCGTCCTGAAGCACGCCCCGATACGGACCGATGTGGTGATCGCCTTTGGCAATGCGTCATGGCGACAGGGCAAGGGCTATGCATCCAGCCCTCGGAGGCAGCGATTTGCTCAGTACTTTGAGCAGTTCGAGCACCACCGCCGCCGTCCCAATCACCATCATGGAAGCGTCAAGGTGGCCTCGACGAACGAGTTCAACACCTCGCAAGTGTGCTCCAAGTGCCTGGAGCCAGTTCGGTTGGAAGGACTCGATGCGCCCAGTGTTGCGAATTCCCACTTTGTCAGGAGCTGCAAGAATCCCAGCTGCCGGACAGTGTGGAATCGCGACGTCAATACGGCGCGCAACATGATCACAGTATGCAGGTCGATTGTGGAGATCGGAGAGCGACCGGCGGTCTTCACTCGGAGGCTGCCAAAGTGATCTGTTTTATTTCTTGTGGCTTTGCTTGACGCAAGCACAGCACATACTACATGTTCATGGAAACGGCTATATTGTCCCGTTTTTTTCTGAATAAAGTGTACCTGTGCTGTCGGCAAACCACAGACCCATTCCGCTCTGGCCGGGTCTGGCGCTCTTGATCGATCGTGGTTTCTGCTCGTCTGTATCTGCTCCTCGCTCATCCACAGTCGGATCTCGACCATCACCCACAATGCATCGAGCCTTTGTCCTCGTCACCGGTGCTACTCGAGGATTCGGACGAGAGTAAGCTGCTGCTTCCTCAGCATCGATTCTGATCGAGCCGCTTGGCCCTGCTCGCTCTGAATGTGCTCTTGCGCTCGTCCCCTCAGGATTGCCCGTGGTCTCGTCCATGCAACGCAATCGCCGCTCCAGTCTCTCAAGCAGCAGTATCCCAATATCACTTTCGATCTCCTGCTCACTGGGCGGAACCTGCAGGGCCTCTCGGCCATTCGGGACGAGCTGAGTGATCGTGCTGGCTTCAATGTCGACACTCTCGTGGCCGACTTTGCCGATCCCCAGGCCGATCGAGTGACCGAGTCGATCGTCCACAACATCCCTGCGGCCCCAACAGACTATAGCCACTTCTTTCTCTTCAACAACGCCGGTAGCTTGGGCAAGCTCGCCCGCACCCGCAATCTGCAGTGGACCGACATCCAGTCGGCCATTCACGTCAATGTTGCTGCACCTTTGGCCTTGACCGCGAAGCTCCTCAAGGTCTTCAAGGATTGCCCCAGCGTCGATATTGTGAACGTGTCGTCTCTGGCAGCGTAAGCATCGGTGCAATGCCCTCCGATTGCCGAACATGATACTCGAACATGATACCCGAGCAAATCCGTCGCCGATGTATCCTCTGCGACAAGCCCCAATGTGACCTAACTGCCTTGCCCCAACTGCCTCACCCCAACTCAGGATCCAGGAGTTTGATTGCTGGGGCCTGTACGCTGCCGGGAAGGTAAGCCGAGCTAGATCTGCTTCGGTCATGTCCGATAGCCGTGCGTCGAGGATATGTGCACCCTTGTGGATGAGAATCAGTGCGTTGACTGCATCCCGACACTCTGCTGCATCCCGACACTCTGCTGCATCCCGACACTCTGCTGCATCCCGACACTCTGCTGCATCCCCATCCTGCCATTGCATTTCACACGCTGTTATTCCACCTCTCTCTTTCGGCTGCCCTGGCGCCGATGCACAAACGGCATGCCTCCCGATGCTTCGATGGACCCTGGACGCTGCTGCATCCAGGCTGCCAGGGACATGATCCACAAGACAATCGCACTGGAAGAAGGCCTGATCGAGTCGGCGCAGAGGCCAAATGCCACAGAGGCACTCCCAAGACCCCGGGTCCGAGTTCTGAACTATGCTCCCGGCCCCCTCGACACTGACATGCAGGCCGAGATCCGCAAGGACATGCCCGCAGTCGAGCTCAGGGACCTCTTTGTGGATATGAAGACCAAGGGCACTCTGGTCGACCCAACGGAATCTGCTCTGACGCTGCTGCATCTCCTCTCCAAGCCGGACGGATTCGTGAGCGGAAGCCATGTGGATTATTTTGATGTGGGCTCAAGCGATGGTAGTGCATAAAGATGCACCAGCAGCATGGCCAGGAGGTGCGAACTAGAAGGCACCCGAGACTGGATGATGTTGCCGTAGGCTTGTATCGATCAGCAGGTTTATTATATATTGCGTGCATCTGTGGATCAGCCACAGCATCCGAGACCCGCCCGTTCCGCCCGACGATGGGGAGAGGAGGTGAGAGCCGATAGACCAACGATTCTATGTCTAGAGACCCTCTGGCCTTTTGACATCTTGCTGTGCCAGCTTCTCAAGCACCTCGAGCTCCCGCATATCAGACCGGAGCGGATAGAGCAGCGTCGGAATGGCTCCAACAAGACAGGAGCCGAACACGATCCATGGGACAGCGGGATACTCTTGATCAACCGTGCGGGTGCGGTCCCAGATGACGCTGAAGATGACGACAAGCAGCTGAGCAGTGCCCCACAGCAATGCCATAGAGACACCCTCGCCAACGCCGTCCTTGCGGGTGACGGCCACGATCATGTCAAGGAACACTGGCATCATCGTGCAGATTGGGCGAGAGTGGAGATGACAAAGGGATGAGAGAAATGTGAGAGCTGTTGAGCGTGCGGGACAGATGAACGGCGAGTTCTGGTCATGGCCGATCTAGCGTCTGGGACGACGCTGCATTCGCTTACCTGGGAGACTGCCGACAGTGAACACTCCAATGAAGAAGCACGACACCACAAGTACCGGGAGGATGTTTGGCCGGTTGAATATCAGAGCAAAGAACAGATAGGAGACCACCATGAAGCTGGAGTTGAGCTTGAGGATCAGGGCATGTCGCCGGCTGCGATCAGCCAGATAGCCGAACATGAATGTAGCGATGACACCGCTGAAGACGAGCACAGCTCCCATGGTGCCGGTGTCGTCCTGCAAAGTGCAGAAGCAAAAACGGGATGAGTGCAGCTCCACATTAACATGCAGGCGGGGTGGTGTCGCAACTGGCTGTTCGAGCGGTCCAAGTGGTCATTGGGGGAACTCACCGCACTGTACCCATACGGCGACATGATCTGGTTAAGATAGGACGTGATGTTGCTGAAGACTGCCGTTCCGATGGCCATGGTGGCGGCGAGCTGCCAGAAAAGCCTCAGCTTGACACACTTCATGAAGGCCGTCTTGAAGGAAACCTCGGCGTCTTTGGCCTGGACAGAGGCGAGCTGCTTCGGCTCAATACAGGCAACGGCGCTGATGGCAAACAGTGCAAAGGTTCCGCAGGTATATCCAAGAAGCTGTACGAAATACAACAAACAGTTTGTTACTGCGGACCGGCAGCCCGAGTGTGCAGCAAATGCACCACCAGCCATGCCGCTGGGATGTCGCTGGTTGGAGAAGCAAGCGGTACGAACCAAGGTCGGCAAGTCTGCACTGGTCTGTACGATGGCCGGGACGAGGAGGAAGGCCACAGCACCGCCGATTGGATTACCGATCGTAGAGCAGGCTGTTGGGATGGCCCGCTCCTCGGGTGCGAACCAGATTGTCGAGAGCTTGGGACAGGCGTCCAGAAACGAAGGCTGTGAGAATCCTGCAAAGGCCTCTCCAATGAACGCCAGGACGATCTTGCCCGTGGGATTGGAGATGAAAGAGCCGCCATAGCACAGCCCGGCCCCGACAAACTGGAAGAAGCTGCCAAAGAGGACGGTCTTGCGGATTCCGTACGAGTCCAGCAAGATGGCAGAGCAGATCGACCCGGGGAGGAAGCTCAGGATGTAGACATTGTTGATCCAATTGATGGTCGTCAGGGATGTACTGAAGTAGGAGGTGGATGCATCGGCCACGGGTGTGTAGATGAGCCAAATGAGGGAGCACGAGATGTTCAGCACGAACAGGAGAAACACTTGGCTCCAGCGGATGAGCGGGTTGGACGGCGGCGGCGGCGGTGCTTCGGAAGAGGACATTCCTGGCAGAGTGCAGCCCAAGTGAGTGGGAGGGCGGATGGTGTTGCAGACGTTCTGCTGTTGAACAGAAATATCTGGGTCCTGGTGCAGGCAGGCAAAGAGTTTTAAACCTGGGGCAGGAAGGGCCGCACAGGTTGCTCTCTGGGCAGAGAGCCAATCGAATGAATAGCCTCGGTGTTGAATGATGGCCATGATTGGGACAACCGTCTCAATGGGATAGAACAAACGCTCGAATGTGGGAACCGAGACAATGGACCCAGGATGCGCAGGTTTGCCCAGCACAGAGCCGCTGCCAATAAGCAGCCCCCAGATCGATCGAGAGGCATCCGGGCGACTCGACCTGAGCCAGTCTGATCGAGACCAAGACGGTGTTGCAAATGAAATAATGGATAGAGAGGGCACACAGAATGGGCAGATGCGCCGGCCATTGATGCATCTCGCCATTGTTGTCTCCAGCGGGTTGCAGCGAGCTCGTGTTGGCGATCATAGGACCGAATCCAAGCGGAATATCTTGGCCGTGCTGATAGAGTAGTGTTGGATGTACCGCCTGGATCTGCTGGACATTGAAGTTTATGGATGGCGCTTTCAGATGCTGAGGATGTGGATCAGGCCAGGGCATTGGAGTGATGCGGCACCACATGAATCGAGGTTCGTGGGCGGCCACTGTGATTGAGAATGCGCTCGGGAAAGCGCTCATCAGCCCCAAGAGCAGGTCGCCCCGATTCGTTTTGGGAGCGCTGCAGCTTGCAAATCTCCATCGTATCCGCCTGCCTGTTTCTGCCTACAGCATCAATATGAAGAAGAAGCGAGCCGAGAGCGTCCCGAACTACACCGACATAATCGCGGGACTGAAGGATATATACAAGGTAGTGCGCCGAATGTATCTGCGCGTGACGATATCAAGACGCGAGCAAGCAGAGGCAGGGTTCAGCGAATGAGTTTCTGATCGATTGTCTCGTCCCGTCTTTCATACGCTCATGTATTGCGCTCATCACTGGGATTGTGGACCATGCGCGATTCCAACTCCACGGATGGCCTGCGACGCTCAACCCATCTAGAGCAAGATCAAGCCTGTCGAGCAACTGCTTTCCTTTGACCAGTTCTCAACGCCGTCGCTCACGGATGCAGACCTCACAGCCAAACCGATTGTGCTGCTGATGGGACAGTATTCTGTCGGTGGGTCCGGGGAATGCTTCGGCGGATGCTCGATTGAGTCTGGGCCGTGCTCGATTGAGTCTGGGCCGTGCTCGATGCCGCCTCTCATCGCTTTCCCGGCTTGTGAACGGGCTTCATGGTGGCCCGCTAATTGCCGATCGACTCCACCGCTCAGGAAAGAGCACCTTCATCAAGTATATTCTTGAGAAGGAGTATCCAGGCTGCCACATTGGCCCCGAGCCCACGGTAGGGCGGTGCAGCACACCATCGATCCTCTGTGACTTTGCGACTCACTGTCCCTGTACCTCCGATCGCCCAGACGGACCGCTTCATTGCCATCCTTGGCGGCGAAGACCGCATCATCCCCGGAAATGCAGCAGCTGTCGACCGGGATCTGCCCTTCACGGTAAGTAGGACTGCAGAGTCACGTCGGAATGCCGCCGTCGCCGAGGATGCATTCGACCCGCAGCTCACAGCAGATTCGACTTGCCAGTCTCTGTCACGGTTTGGCGCCAGTTTCCTTCAAAAGTTCCAGGTACGAATATGGAGTGCCCACAACTTCATGTTGCCCGCCGGTCTGAGAGATGTGGCGAGCAGACATCAGTTGAAGGAGGGGGGGGTCGGACATCTGCCTTATGCGAATATCGGGCTTCTCCCAGGTCTCATATACAAGCTCGCCCATTCTCGAGTCGGTCACCCTGATCGACACGCCGGGAGTGCTTTCGGGAGAGAAGCAGCGCATCGGCCGCTCCTACGACTTCTCTGGGGTGATGGAGTATTTCGCGGCGAGGGCGGACGCCATTCTGCTCCTGTTTGATGCCCACAAGCTCGACATCAGCGACGAGTTCAAGGACTGCATTATGGGTTTGAAGGGCAACGAGGAAAAGGTCAAAGTCATCCTCAACAAAGCAGACATGGTCAACGGACAACAGCTTCTGAGAGTGTGAGTCTTGAGCCGCAGCGCTATGCTCCCTCGGTCGAGCCCAGGACTTGATTGATGGCACGTTGGCTCGCCCGCTGATGTGACCTGGCGCTGATTCTGATCCCTCATTGACATCGCCGCCGGGGTTGTAATGACTTTGATTGCGCGACATTGCGTCTGAAGCTACGGTGCTCTGATGTGGTCCCTGGGTAAGGTCCTGAACACTCCCGAGGTGATGAGGGTCTACATTGGAAGTTTCTGGGACCAACCGCTTCGGTATCGAGACTGTGAGGCGCTGCTCTCTGCCGAGCAGGAGGATCTCCTCGCCGATCTCCGGTCTCTCTCGACCAACTCGACGATGAGAAAGATCAACGACATTGTCAAGCGGGCGTCGATGGTCAAGGTTGGTGACACCGAGAGGAGTGTGCTTGTGGACTGCGATTCAGTATGGCACAGATTTCTCGGCAGCGATGCGACATCCTCTGAACTGAGTGGCTGACCTTCAACCGTGCACATGTAGATTCATGCCCTGATCATATCCCACCTCAAGCAAGAGATGCCGGGGTTTTTCGGCAAGTCGTCCAAACAGAGCGAGCTGCTCGCCAACCTCGCTGCCGAGTTCACCAAACTGGAGCACTTGCATCGCTTGCCTCGGGGAGACTTTCCGAATGTCGAAGAGTTCAAGTCCAAGCTCAGTCTGTTCAAGATCGACAAGTTTCCAAAGTTGGACAAGAAGCTGATGGCTACTCTCGACACGGTGCGGATCTCATTCGCCCTCTGTGCCCCTCGATAGGCCGATCCTTTGCGCCGGGTCTCATGGTGTGATGACCAGCATCACAACGGACCAATGAGATTGTCCCGCATGCTCTCGCCCTCCGCACCAATCATGAGTCCCCACGTGTTTGTTTGCCCCCATGCATGAGCACGCGCCGTTGCCACCCGCGTCTACTGGTTTCCTGCCTCCCCCACCGCTCGGCACATGTCCCCGGGCTGTGCCAAGCCTCTCTCGCTTGCACACCAGCCACTCTCGCACCCCCTTCTCGCTTCTCTGTGATGCTCCACCCTTCTCGCCCACTTTTGCCCCTCGACCTTCTCCCGGTCTATAAATAGCCCTGCATGTCTGAGCCTATGTTGAACACCAGTTCGAACAAAACTTGTTCTTTGGTGTTCGGGGCTAAAAGCTAATAAAGCTCATACCAAGCACTTGGTCTTCGTCCTTGCGCTTGTTCACTCCTTACACTTTGTTCGAACTCTCTTCTACTGATACCACCTGCTTGGTATCTTCCGCTCCTAGCCCCGCCCCTTTCCTAGTCCTGTCCGAACCTCAAGCACACTTGTGTCTGAGCCCTCTTCGCTCTCCTGTTCTTGAACCTCCTCGCTTTTTTTTTTTTTCCCAGTCCCAGTCCCAGTCCCGCCATGGATCCTGCCCTCGTGGACCGCCTCCGTGCCTTGGAGGCCGAGCTCGCCGAGCTCCGGACAGCTCGCGATGCTCCTGCCGCTGGGTACAGCGTGCAGATGCCGGACCGTTACGACGGTAACCGGCAAGGGTTCCGGGCATTCGTAAATCAGTGCAAACTGTATATACGAATGCAGCCCCACCGGTTCCCTGCTGACCCGATTAAGGTCGGATTCGTCATTAGTCTGCTCACTGGACCGGCTCTCCAGTGGGCGACTCCGATGCTTGAGATGGGTGATCCCCGACTCAACTCTTTTGGCGATTTCCTAGAACGCTTTTCCAAAGTGTTTGACGACCCTGATCGGGCCAGGACTGCCGAGTCAGTGATCACCACACTGTCTCAGGGCAACCGCCCGTGCGCAGTCTATGCATCCGAGTTCCTTCGTATTGCCGCCGATACGACTTGGAACGACGGTGCAAAGATCTCGTTCTTCCGACTTGGCTTGTCGGATGATGTCAGAGACGAACTTTCGCGAGTTCGCCCTCTGCCACGAGATCTGGAGGAGTACATCGAGCTTTGTAACGAGCTCGATGCACGAATCCGCGAGCGCCGTCAAGAGCGCCGAAGCACGCCTGCCCGCTACCGGTCTTCCCAGTTCGCCTTTGGTTCCGCCTCCGCTGCCGTTCCCGCCATCGCTCCCGCGCCCGTCCTCGCTCCGCCGCACCCCTCCTACATTGTTTCCGAGCCCATGCAAGTGGACTCTGCCGTCTCTGGACCCCTGACCGCCGAGGAGAAACAACGCCGCCGCCGCTTTGGACTCTGCCTGTACTGTGGCAAGAAGGGCCACTTGGTACGAAACTGCCCCGTCAAGTTTGGATCTACCAGAGCTACCGGACCGCCCCCTGGACCTCCCGGCCCGAGGATCATCCGCACCATCGTTTACGAAGATGGAGAAGTGCAAGACTTCAGTTCGGGAAACGACCAGGCCCGGTTCTAAGTGAAGGCCTTGAACCGGAGCCGTGCCCACCGCCTTCCGAAAGTGAAGACATTGGTAAGGTGCCTTTGGTAAGTACTGGGGAAGCAGTGATGTGCGGACAGCTTCGCCTTGCCTCTGGACCGGCGGACACTCTCAGCTCTGGCATAGTACCCGTGGCACCTCTGGTGTCACTGGGAACTGCACCTCATCCACAGGTGCAAATACCTGAGCTGTCCTGCCAACCCTCGGCAAAGTTAACTGTCTGTGCTAGCCGCAACCCTGGTGCCGAAGCTGGTACCGAACCAAAGTCTTGTGTTTCGTCTGTTCGTCGTTGCTCGTTGGTTGTTCCCGTCGCTGTTCGTCTTCCTTCTGGTGATTCTCTGTCGTGCGAAGGACTTGTCGATTCTGGTGCCTCTGGCAACTTTATCGACGAGGACTTTGTTGCTCGACACTCTGTCCCCACCTGCTCCAAGGCTTCGCCCTTGGCAGTGGAAGGCGTGGATGGTAAGCCGCTGTCGTCTGGCCCCATCCTCCGCGAGACTGCTCCACTCGAGGTGATTCTCGGGGACGTCTCGCAACGCCTTCGGTTCGATGTGATCAGGTCTCCACATCAACCACTTATCCTTGGCTTTCCTTGGTTGCGCACCGCCGAGCCCAAGATTGTCTGGTCTCGCGGTCTTCTTTGTCTCCCTCCTTCTGTTGATTCCGACCCCTCTCCATGCACTACTTCTCTTTCGTCTTGCTCCACTTCCTCCAATGTCACTCCCCTTCTTGATGATTCCACTCCTTTGATTGATCTAAGCTCCTCTCCTACGCTCCCACCTTCGTCTTCCCCTTCTTGTCTTGTTCCTCCCGAACCCCTTCGCTCTTCCCAAACCCCTTCTTCTGTTGTCAGTTCTCTTTCCCTCCTTGATGTACCTCCTCCTGTTGTTTGTTCTTCGGACATTGTTCAGAATAAAGTAACCGTCGAACATTATTCTGACCTTGTCCACGCCCCTCCTCTCAGCTCGGACGCTCCTCTCCGCGTCTGCAGCATTGATTACCGCTCGATGCGCGAGTCTTTGGATGCATGCAGGCATGGAACGCAACCCCTGACCATCTTTCAGGTCCATGTCCTGCCCACTGACGAGCCGAGCACTGCGACTGTCGAAGTGCCTGCGGAGTACAAGGACTTCCTGTCTGTTTTCTCTAAACAGGAAGCTGACTCCTTGCCTCCGCATCGCCCTTATGACTGCCCCATTGACTTGGAGCCGGGCAAGTCGCCAAAGTTCGGGCCTCTGTACTCACTGTCCGAGCCCGAACTTCACGCTCTGCGTGACTATCTCGACGAGAATCTTGCCAAGGGATTCGTTCGTCCTTCGTCGTCCCCAGCAGGCTCACCAATCCTCTTCGTCAAGAAGAAGGACGGCTCACTTCGTCTTTGCGTTGACTACCGCGCACTGAACGGTATCACGGTAAAGAACCGTTACCCTTTACCGCTGATCGGCGAGCTGCTGGACCGACTTCGAGGCGCGAAGGTGTTCACTAAGCTGGTGTCATGAACACCCTCTGCCTTTGCCCTCTTCCTTCCTTTGCCTTTGCCCTTTCCTTTCTGTTTGCCTGCCTTAGCGCTTTCCCTTCCTTCTGTTTGTTTGTTTCCCGCGCTGTGCTGCCTTGTTGTCTTCCCGCCAGCACGCGCGCTGTCTGTGTTCCGTTCCCGCTTCCTTGCTGTTGGTCGTGGGTTACGCCCACGACGCCGCCTCGACGCCGCCTGACGCCTTGGCGCCGCCATGCCGCCGCCACTGACGCCCGCTGACTCACGGATCCCGAGTCACGGCCGCCACCTGCTTCGCTCGCTGCTTCGCCCTCCCCGCCGCTGCTTCGCTCCTGCCCCCTCGCTCTGCAACGTCGATCCTTGGCGCTCGCATAAATAGCCCTCCGACCAGCCTCTGTCTTTTGCCTTCGTCTTGCCACTTTGTATTTTTAGTATCCTAAGCCTTGGATCTAGAATAAAACTTTGGCTTCACACTTGACACTCTGTGTCCCAGTCCAGTCCCCGCTCCTCTCCCTACGTTCGAGTCTTGCATTAGGACTCTTGCGCGCTTCCCTGCTTGCCCCGTTGTCCAGTCTTGACACTTGGCAAGACCTTCAACAACCCCCCACTTGCCCAGCTTTTGTCCCCGTTCCCTTCGCTATCTCTTTTACCAATGGCTTCCCCTTCTGGCCTTTCCGAGCCCGAGCTCCAGGCCATCCGTGCGGTCATTATCCAGTCCGCCGAGAACGCCCGTTCTCTCCAGGACTTTTCCAAGTTCCTCCACGATCAGGATGATGCGCTCAACCGCATCACCGATCGTATGGACCAGGTCCTGGCTCGCCGTGAAGAGGATGTCCGCCAAGTTGTCGCCGCCAGTGTCCAGGAGGCCCTCCGCAGCTACCAGGCCCAGCTACCTCCTCCAGTTCCTGCTCCCGCTCCGATCCGTCGCGCAGGTCGCCCCTACTTCGGCGTACCTGACGACGTCGATGATCCTGCCCAAGACCCCGAGGATCACTCTGCTGGTCGCAACTCTGCCCCCAGGCAGATAGGTCCTCCCGACCGCTTCTCTGGTAAGGACCCGAGCCGCTGCAGTGCCTTCCTCTCGCATTGCAGACTGGCCTTCGTGTCCAACCCTCCCCTCTTCCAGACTGAAAGGGATAAGGTGTTTTACGCCTTATCCTATCTCGATGGTACTGCTGCAGACTACATGCAGCCGTACATCGATCAGTTGGAGAGAGACCCCGAGTGCTCTCCCCCTGCCATCCGTGACTTTGCCGGTTTCTCCGAGTGGCTCCGTGCTGCCTTTGGCCAGGTCCAGCCCACCATCGCCGCTGCTCGCGAGATGGTCAGGCTTTACCAAGTCACCTCCGCCGCCGCCTATGCCGCCGAGTACCGCCGCCAAGCCGTCCACCTCGTCACTTGGTCCCAAGACCCTCTCATGTTCCACTTCGAGAGTGGACTCAAGCCCTCGGTTCAAGATGAACTCTCCCGCCGCTCCTTCGACAACCTCGAAGATCTCATGCAAGCGGCGATCGCCATCGACAACCGCCAGGAGGACCAACGCTCCCGCCGTCCCAACCACCGCTCCGCTCCTGCTCCTGCTCCTGCTCGTCCGGCTCCTCTCCCTTTCCGTCCGGCTCCTCGTCCCTTCGCTCCTGCTCCTCCTCCTCGCCCCGCTCAAGCCTTCAACGTTCCCCAGCCCATGGACCTCAGCCAGGCTTCCGCTCGCAGGCTGACCGCCGAGGACAAGGCCGCCCTCCGTGCTGCTAATCGTTGCTTTTATTGCAAGCAGGAAGGGCACATTGCCCCTCGCTGCCCCAATAAGGCATCCTCCCGCTTGGCTGCCATCGATGCTTCTTTGGCTGTCGTTGATGTGAATAAACTTGACGACCAGGAAAACTTCTCTG